TTGTGTGCGTTCTATACGTTTCGTCAATCCCGTTTAATATCCCTCCCTCCCTCCCTTCCTCTCCTTGCTTTCTTCCATTGCTTCTGCTAATATCATTTCCAGAATGATAACTCTAAACCTAACCCTAACCCTAACCTTCACCCTAACCCTACAACTTTTTTCTCTAACCCTAACCCTAAAACTTTTTTCCCTAACCCTAACCCTAAAACTTTTTTCTCTAACCCTAACCCTAACTCTACAACCTTTTTCTCTAACCCTAACCCTAACCCTAACCCACACTTTCGACTTAAAACCGTTTTTAGATTTAAAGTCGTCTTTCGATTTAAAGACGGGCAGTCAGCCCGGTCTACCGGGCCGCTCCGGCGGCCTCGGCCGGACCGGAGTCTCTGTTTCTGTTTCCCTGCCACAATGGATGTAGCGTGCGAGAGATTGCTTTAAATAGCTGGTTTTAAGTGAAAAGTTTCCGTTCTTGCCTAGAGTTCTTGCTATCGCAAGCCTTCCGATCCAAGCTCCCATCGCAGTTTCAAGCGTCGTGCTTTCTGGATTGGGAAAATCGGGGTGGCGAGACCTGACGCTCGCTTCCCCGACCTCGACCCTAACCCTTCTTCTAATGGTCTTTCTAATGCCAGGAGCGCTCAGCAGGGCTCGCCCCCCCGCCTCACCAGGTAAGTGAAAAAATGATCAGAGTAGTGGTATTTCACCGGCGGCCCAGGCAGGCCTCCCACTTATTCTACGCCTCTCATGTCTCTTCACAGGGCCAGAGTAGAGTCAAGCTCAACAGGGTCTTCTTTCCCCGCTGATTCCGCCAAGCCCGTTCCCTTGACTGTGGTTTCGCTAGATAGTAGGTAGGGACAGTGGGAATCTCGTTCATCCATTCATGCATGTCACTAATTAGATGACGAGGCGTTTGGCTATTGACAGTTTATTTTTAGAGAAAGCAAGGCAAAACAGTACATGGTAAAGCAGTGCATAATACGATACAACAAGATACATTTCATAAGCATGTTATTAAAATAAACAGTATACAAGGTAATACAGTACATACAACCGACTCAACCTTCCCACCCGCCATGCCGTCTAAGAGCGATTACTCGTTAATAGACAGATAACACCACATAGACATAGGTATAGCAAGACATACTAGACATTCCAGTCCTTAGTACCGCATTTATACAAGTCAAAGCATTTGAGCGAGCCGATAATGGCCAATATACAAAGGTCCATAATGTCTCTGCGGCTCAAGCCCAAAGCCCGAAGTCCATCGCCTGATGCACGGTAACATTATTAGAGATGTCTATCTCTATTAGAGATGACAACCGGGAGTTGGACAACAGGGGTGGTAGCCGGTACAGCAGCCCAGCGACGGATGTCTGCCACACGATCAGGACGACCATACTTGGAGGTTTTAATGTCCCAGGTCTCCTCCACTTGATAGCCAGCAACGATCGATATGTCAAGGATCCACAGCTGGTTCATCATCTCAACGATCAGGTCCGGCTTGATGAAGGAGGCTCCTGATGGAATCACCGATTCCATTCTCGTACGGAGGCCCTTTCGGCACAGCAGCCTCTCGAGGCACCGTAGTACTCGGTTGTGGTGGGCGCATCTGGCATCGTGAGTCAATTCACAGACTTGCAGGATGTGGTTTTGGGTTTCAGGGGCACAGCAGGCACCTCTACAAGTCCTGCCGGTGACTTGTCTGTTGTTGCCCCGCACGCTCCTGGCTTGGTGGGAAGCAGACCGCCTCTCAGCTGGATACCCCTAATGTAGAGTCGGGGGTAGATCCTGGCTGGATGGTGGAGCCACTCGTGGCTGGCTTTGTCTACCTCAGGGATATTCAATTCTTTGCCATTGACAGAGTTAGAGAGCATGATCTGCCACCCTTCTCTCACTTCTGCTTTCATTGTTACGACTATTCCACCCAGCCTACATGGCCGGTCCATGCGGCGCTCTAAGGTCTGGAAGGAGGTCTGGCGTTGCGCTATCTGGAATGGGGTTGCAGGGTTTGATGCTACCTTCTCCAGCCTTCTTTGTTGCAGAAGTGGGATCGTGGTGGAGAAACATGGCAGCCCCAGTCCTCCATCTAAGACATGAGCATGAAAGTACCCCACTGGTGTGTCCTTAGGAAGCTGAAGCCAACAACGCACCGCCGTTCGGGTCAGGCAGTCTAGCCGTTTCAGGGTGTTTCGGTGGGCATGACCGAGCACAAGTTCGTGGGTGAACTTTGGCACTAGGTGGAATTTCAGGAGCTTAAGTGGCTGGAGGCCCAAGTAGCTCACTGAGTCATCAGTCCCTAGGGGTTGGATGGTATCCCCTTTGCACTTGTAGAGGGTAGGGACCAGGGCCATGCACTTACGATTTCCATCTCTTGCGATGGTCAGTCCGTGGGACTTCTTTGCATTTAGTGCCATACCGGCTCGTTGTAGGGCTTCAGATAACAGGTGTAGTTTTTCCTTGTAGATCTCTCTGCGAACAGCACTAGGTCATCCACATAAGCTAGACCGCCAATTCGCTGGCCATCGAAGTCGTACCCTACGTCGGGTAGCGACGATTTGATGATGTCGTCGATGACCATTATAAATAGGAGCGGGGAGAGAGGATCGCCTTGCCGAACGCCCCGACCACACTTGGTGGTCTCTGCAAGTCGTATGGGCGACTTTTTGTAGAGCTGTCTCAGGTAAGATACCAGCGGAGGAGGCAGATCTGCTTCGTAAGCCACTCGGAAGAGACTCATATGCGATACCGTATCGAATGCTTTGGCAACATCTAGGAATAACATCGCACATGGAACTCTCTTCATGTGAACTCTACGGAGGATGGTATGGAGCAAGGTCGATGCTTCCAAGCAGCCATCTCATTGGAGAAATGCATGTTGGAGGGGAGACAACTGGAGCATATCTCGGAGGCGCCAGGCCAGGATCTTGTGGAATGCTCGGAGGATGGTTGAGGCAATCGATATAGCCTGTAGTCCCCAGATGTTGTCGGGTCCTCAGTCTTTGGCAGAAACACCACCCTGGAGCAGGGTGCGATGGGCAGCCATCCCAGTCTACCGGGACGCTCGGGCGGGACCGGTTTACCGGGGCCTCGGCCAGACTAGAGTGTTTCTGTTTCTGCTTCCTTGCCAGGATTGCTGCAAGGAGTTGCTTTAAATAGCTGGTTTTAAGTGAAAAGCTTCCGTTCTTGCCTAGATCTCTTGTTATCGCAAGCCTTCCGATCCAAGATCCCTTTGGAACCACCGCAGTTTCAAGCATCCTGCTTTCTTGGGAAGATTGGAGAGGCGAGACCTTACACTCGCTTCCCCGACCCCGGCCCCAGCCCTTCTTCTAACACCAGGAGCGATGGAAAGCCATTTTTCAATCGTTTTTCTTGATTTTCGTTTGGAGCGTATATACCCACAAGTCGTGGGGTTTTTTGGTAGTTTGTTACAATTTCTGCCATCTTCCTTCCTCAAAAGTTTTGGGTGTAGTTTTCCCTACCCACTCGTAGGCCTATCATTTCTAATTTTAACTTCCCTCATTTATTCCATATTTTCCTTCCTCTTGCCGAATGGCCGAATCCAGTCCGTTTCTACTCAAGGAAATTATTATCTTATTCTTCCCATACCATAAGAAAGCACGCCAACCCAGTTGTAGATCATGACCCTCTAATGTCAATAATTTTGTATTTCTTAATACAATCCATTCTTTCATCCATGATAATGTTGCTGCCTGATAATATAATTCCCAGTTTGATAATCCAAACCCTCCTCTAAGTCTTGCATCTTGTAACATTTTTATATTTTCTCACTTTTTTCCCTTGCCATATAAATTTCATTATTATTTTATTAAGATTCTCAAAAAAAAATATTCTAATTTTATTGGTATTGTTTGAAATAGAAATAACAATCTTGGTAATATATCCATCTTAATTGTTGCTATTCTTCCCATTAATGATAATTGTAATTTTTTACATCTCTCCATCTCAATTTGCTTTTTTCAATTTGTAATAATTATCTTCCTTAATTGTGATGCATCTTGCTGCTAACTGAATTCCTAGATATTTTATATAATCAAGGTTGACTGAGCCTTCCATCCTTTCTAAGGTAGGTAAATTGAGGACCCAGTTTGTGGGGGCAATAAGCTGACTTTGTATAAATATACAAAAATATGAAGGTTATTGCTTAACACATTGTAAGCCACCCTGAGTCTCCAGAGAAGGGCGGCATATAAATCAAATTAAAATAAAAAAAATAAAAATTTTTTTACTTTTTTAGTAATCTGATTATCTAGTTTTTCCATTAACTCCCTTTTCTGCTTCTCTGTTTTTCACCAATATTTTCATTTTATCTTTATTGATTTTCAACCCTGCCACTTCTCCATATTCTTTTATTTGCTCTATTAATTTTGGCCCAAATACTTGCGGCTCCTCTAACATAAACACTAGATCATCTGCAAATTGCTGTAGTTTTTATTCTTCTTTCTTAATTCTGATACTGCTTATCTCTTCATTTTGTCTTATATTTCTATTTCATACCTCTAATGTCAACACAAATAATAAAGGACCACCCTGCCTTGTGCTTTTCATGATATTAACCTTCTCTGTCAAATCTCCTTTTACCATCATATTAGCTGATTGCTTATAATAAATTGTTTTAATCATGTTTATAAATCCACCCAAAATCCAAGGTTGACTAAGCCTTCCATCCTTCCGAGGTTTATGTGTCTCGTTTTCAAATTTGATGTTGGTCTGTTGATGTTGGTCTGAAAAGAGCAGATTAGTGAATGGGCATTCACTATATTTGTCCTCATATTTTGGAAGTGTTTCTAGGACACGCTTAATCTGTTTACTGCAGGAACTCCATTTCTTGGTTTTCACTGAACTATTACTGGATTATTGAAAAATACATTGCATACTCTGAACAATAACCAAATTACTTTGTGCAAATATAGTTGCAAGGTTTTCAATCAACCAGGTTAAGTATATTTTGTGGATACTGTGAAAAAGTATTTGGATTTAAAAAACTATAATGAAACCATGACAGAAATCAAAGTGAGAACACAGTAGAATGACACGGGCACAGTGGGATTTGCCCAGGTGTTGCCTTTGTCAGGAAGAGAAGAAGGATTATGTGTTGTAGCATCAACAAAGATGCTGGTTGTCACATCTCCAGAGCTATCATGGTTTGGGCCTCCAGGAGCACCGTCTTCATTGCCCTTTCCTGGGAGGTGAGTTGGCCCACCTCCAAAAATAGTAGAAAGAGTACTTCTGGTGCTTCCAGAAATTGGTGATGTGATCTGAGAGATATTTCCAGTGGCATCATTATGGCTGTTACCTTCAGACTCATCATGAACATGTGTTGCTTTGTCTTCACGGTTATGTTTGGTGCTACCCATGGGAATAGAAACTGTAGCATCCTTAAAGATGCTTGTTGTATCATTAATAGGAATATTGCTAGTTACATATCCAGCGCTGTTGCTTGTAAAATTATTCTGAATGTTTACAGAAACAAGAATAGGAGTTATAACATCTGCTGAAGCTGTGGCATCTTTGTATCTATCGTTATCAGAAGTAACGCTAGGAACAACCCCAGAGATGGTAACTAAAGTGCCTATGTGGTCATGACCCCTAATATGGTCAGGAATACCTATAGTAATATTGCTTGAGAAACCATCTAGGAAGAGAGTAGTCTTATTTTCAATGTTATTGTCAGTGGCACTGCTAGCAATGGGAACTCTGGAACCTTCAGGAATGGTGCCTTTAGATATATTAAGTGTGAGATCACTGGAAATATTACGGCCACCACTAGCAATACTAATTGTGGCAGTAGCATCTGTGGCAGTAGGTTTATAAATGACAGAAGCTTCATTGTTGCTAATTGCACTTCCCAGATTTTTGTTTGTACCAGGAACACTTGCAGTAGTGCCTTCAGGAATGTGAATAATTGCACCTCCAGAAATATTACCCATTGTGCCTTCATGTATGTCGACTGCTTTATGATCATATCCCATTGCAATTTTTTTGGCATTAGGTGTGATGCTTTGAAACATATTTCCAGTGGTACTTTTGGAGAAAGGAGTTGTGACTCCTCCAGAGATGTAATTCATGGCCCCATTTCCAGGGCTGTGAGTGATGGAGATTTTAGGTTTGTTTCCTGTTGCATCATAAGTTTTAGGGATTGTATCACCATTAACATTACCTGTGGTCTCACCAGATAGGTTGCCAGTAGCCCCATGAAGTATATTATATATGGAATTCTTCAGGCTGGGAATATATCCACCTTCTGTTGTACTTCTAAGTACTGAAGCTGTGATACTTTTAAGAATGTTGACTGTGGCACCTCTTACCATCTGAACTGTGATACTACTGGAAAAATTACTAGTAACTCTATCACGATTGTGAACTGAGGTATCTTCAGGAACATTGTTTATGACACTACCAAGGATATTTGTAGTAGTACTTCTAGGAATGTTATCTGCTGCATCTCTAGGACTGTTGCCCATTGTATCAATATTGCCCAATATTGTGTGAATTGTAATGTTTTCAAGCATATTGTCTATGGCACCTTTAGTGATATGAGCTAGATCATCATTGGGAATGTTGCCCACAGCACTTTGAGTAGTATTAAGAAATACTGTAGAGATATATCTGGTTACAACATCTGTCCAATTACTATGTGTTCCAAGAATAAAAGTTACATCTCTAGGAAGATTGCTGGTGACAGTTCCATCTATGTTGGCTGTAACCTCACTAGACATTTTGATTAAGGCATCTTCTGGGATATTAGTTACAATACCCTTCAGGAATTTGCTATTGACATCTTCAAGTTTGTGAATTGTGAGTCTTCTAGGGTTATTTCTTGGAGTACTTGCAGAGGCATTACATGTGTTTCCTAAGGCATTTCCAAGGATATGACTTCTTATACCTGTAAGAAGATTGTCAGTGACACCACCTGTTGTGCCTTCATTTTTAAGGATATTGCCTGTGGTACCTCTAGGATTGTGAGTTTGTAGAGATTGTTTGTTTGTAGAGATGCTAGCTGCAGCATCTCCAGGAATGTGAATTGTGGTACCTTCAAAGAATTTGCTCATGGCATCTCCAGGGATGTTGCTAGATCTCACACTAGGAAAGTGAGCTGTGATGCTTTCTAAGATTTTGCCAACTGTATTTCCAAGTATATTTTCTGTAAAAGTACTGGGAATGTCAGTAACACCTCCAGCTGGAGTGCTTCTGGAGATGTAATCTGAGATAATTCCAGGCATACCCATGGCACCATTAATGCTAGGAGGTATAGAGCTTTTAAGGATATATTTCATCACACTACGAGATGCATTTTCATTCTTGCTTTCAAGAATGTGAACTGTATGTTGGTTGACAGTAACATCTGCAGGGTTATGAGTTATGGCAACTTCATAGATATTGCCTTTAGCATCACTAGAATTGTTTTCCACACCAATTCCTAGAGAGTGTGTTCTACTGTCCATTAGGATATTTTCAGTGGTATATCCAGGAATATGAGTTGTATGAGTTCCATAGAAGTTAGCTGAGATACTTTCCTGGATACTAGTAGAACCTCCATAGTTATGTGGTATGGTGCAAGTTGAGGAAATGTTATCTGGGACACTAGCAAGAATTTTGCTGTTGTCATTTCCAGGGATATGTGTGATAGTATTTTCAAGTTTGGTAATATCATTTGGGATCTCACTGGGAAAACTTTTAGGATAATGATGTGTTATATTTCCATGGAATCTACTTGTGGTTTTTTCCAGCATTTGAACAGCGGACCATCTGGCAGTACTTTCAGAGATGTCAAGCATAGCACTTTCCGGGATATTTCCATTTCCAAGGATATCATTTGAATCATTCCTGGATATTTGAGTAACACTTTTAGGGATCCATCTGCTAGTTGTTCTATGTATATCAAGTATAGTAGTTCTAGGAATGTCAGTTCTGGAACTTCCAGAAATGTGTCTGCTGGTCCTTCCAAGGCCATGAATTGTGATGTTTCCAGTTAAGTCATCTGTGGTATTTCTAGTAACATCATTTGTGGCATCTCTAAGGGTATTCATTCTGGCACTTTGGGAACTGGTAAACCTGGGAATTCCAGAGATATGAGTTGTGATACTTTGCAAAATACCCTTTGTGGCACCTTCAGGGATAGGAATTGGTTTATTTGCCACGTTTTCAAAGAAACCACTGGTGTTGTTTCTAAGATTATGAATTGTGGCATGTCCAGTAATGTCCACTTCCCTGCTTCTGAGCTTATTACCTGGAGAACTTTCTAGGTTTTGTTTAGTAGTGTCTCCTAGAACGTGTGATTTGTTAGTCTGATGGGGAAAAGTTGTCACAATTCTGTGCTTGTTGTGTGTTTCATCTTGATAGCTGTACTTTGTCACCGTTGCAAGGATATGAATTGTTGCTAAAATCAAAATGAAAAACTAAAATCAGATTGAAATAATACAAAAAACTCTGTTTCAGTTATCAATATCTAGAACAGAAATAGCTGAATGTTTGAGTATTGAACTTGGGCTGCTGCCTTTCCAGCCAAGAAGCCCAGTGTCTTAACTGCTGAGCCATCATGCCTTCCCATTTAATACACATTTAAAACACAAAATCCTAGAAAAACTGCTGCACTTTTGCATCTCACAAAATAAGAGTCCAGTGATGGTAAATGGTGAAATGACAAGAGAAAATAGAAAAGGAACAAGACATGGATGCCCTTTATCTCCATTATTATTTATATTGACATTAGAGATTTTAAATAGAAAAGTGAGACATGAGACAGGAAAAGGAAATAAAAGGAATGAGAATCAAAAAAGAAGAATATAAACTACAAGCATTTGCAGATGATTTGGTGTTTATCATGGAAACCCAATAGAGGCAGCACCAAAACTATTAGAGCAAATAGAAGAATATGGGAAAGTAGCAGGTCTGAAAATCAATAAAGATAAGACAAAAATGCTAGTTAAAAACATGATAGAAAACAAAAGAAGGAAATGATGAGAAAATGGACATCCAAATTGTGAAGAAAGTGAAATATTTGGGCATCTGTCTGACATCAAGATGTGCAACGCTTAAGGAAGACAATTATCATAAACTGAAAAAACAAATTGAAAGAGACCTGGAGCAATGGAGAAACTTGCAATTATCACTAATGGGAAGAATAGCATTAATAAAAATGAATGTATTACCAAAAATATTATTTTTATTTCAAACTATACCAATAAAACTAGAGAAAAAATATTTTGAAGAAAATAACATGGAAATATGTGTGGCAAGGAAAGAGGATGCAAGAATTAGAGGTGTGTTTGGCCTTCCAAATTGGGAATCAAGTGGCAGCATTAAAGTGGATTAAAGAATGTATTTTATTAAGGAATACAAGACTATTGACATTAGAGGGTCACGATTTACAACTGGGTTGACATGCCTTTTTATGGTATGGGAAACAAAGGATATATGGATATTTCCAAAGACATTATGTAAGAAATGGTTTGTTATCAGTGTGGGAGAGAGTGAAAGGAAAACATTATTTGAATATTCCAATGTGGCTTTCTACAATAGAAGCAGTGACTTACCAAACATTGTGAAAATGGGGAATATTGTTAGATATAAAGACATTTTGACAGATCGGGGAGAACTGAAACAAAAAGAAGAACTAGAGAGTCAAGGGATTGAGATACAAGACTGCAAATACAAGCAAGATATGAAGCAGATCATAGACAATATGGCTTTAATTTGGGGAAATCAGAACTGGATGAAATATTGACAGGAACAGATGAGAAAATGATTAAGAAATTATGTAATTATTTATTGTGCATTAGTGGATGAAGAAGTAAAAGAAACAATGATAGCATGGGCAAAGAATTTTGGATATACCATAGAATTGGAGAAATGGTAACAACTTTGGGAAAGCAACTATTATTACTACTACTATTATTATTATTATTATTATTATTATTATTATTATTATTATTATTATATTATTATTATTATTTATTAAATTTTTATACCGCCCCCTCTCCCGAAGGACTCGGGGCGGTGAACAGCCAAAATTAAAAACACACAATACAAATATTAAAATACATTAAAACGAAATTAAATTATCTTTGGCTTCTCCAATTTAAAACCCCTTACCCATAAAATTCCCCAATTAAAAGATTTTTAACCCAGCCCGGCTTGCTGAAATAAAAAAGTCTTCAGGGCCCAGCGGAAGGTCCGGAGGTCCGGGATCAGTCGTATCCCTGGGGGTAGCTCATTCCAGAGGGCAGGTGCCCCCACAGAGAAGGCTCTTCCCCGGGGGTCACCAGCTGACAATGCCTGACAGACGGCACCCTGAGGAGGCCCTCTCTGTGGGAGTGTGTTGGCCGGTGGGAGGTTATTAGAGGCAGAAGGTGGTCTTGTAAGTAACCGGGTCCTAAGCCATGGAGCGCTTTGAAGATGAGAACCAATACCTTGAAGCGCACTTGGAAGACCACTGGAAGCCAATGCAGCTCGCGCAGGAGAGGTGTCATGGGGGAGCGCCATGTCGCCCCCATAAGTACCTGCGCGGCGGCATTCTGCACCAGTTGGAGCCTCCGAGTGCTCCTCAAGGGGAGCCCCATGTAGAGAGCGTTGCAGTAGTCCCAGGCGGGAAGTAACGAGGGCATGAGTGACCGTGCATAAGGAGTCCTGATCCAGAAAGGGGCGCAACTGGCGTATCACGCGAACCTGATAGAAAGCCCCCCTGGCCATAGCCGTCATATGCTCTTCCAAAGATAGCCGTGCATCCAGGAGGACACCCAAGTTACGCGCCCTCTCCATGGGGCCAATGTCTCGCCCCCAATAGTCAGCGATGGTACCAGCTGACTATATCGGGACGCCGGCTATTATTATTATTATTATTATTATTATTATTATTATTATTATTATTATTATTATTATTTATTAAATTTTTATACCGCCCCCTCTCCCGAAGGACTCGGGGCGGTGAACAGCCAAAATTAAAAACACACAATACAAATATTAAAATACATTAAAACGAAATTAAATTATCTTTGGCTTCTCCAATTTAAAACCCCTTACCCATAAAATTCCCCAATTAAAAGATTTTTAACCCAGCCCGGCTTGCTGAAATAAAAAAGTCTTCAGGGCCCAGCGGAAGGTCCGGAGGTCCGGGATCAGTCGTATCCCTGGGGGTAGCTCATTCCAGAGGGCAGGTGCCCCCACAGAGAAGGCTCTTCCCCGGGGGGTCACCAGCTGACAATGCCTGACAGACGGCACCCTGAGGAGGCCCTCTCTGTGGGAGTGTGTTGGCCGGTGGGAGGTTATTAGAGGCAGAAGGTGGTCTTGTAAGTAACCGGGTCCTAAGCCATGGAGCGCTTTGAAGATGAGAACCAATACCTTGAAGCGCACTTGGAAGACCACTGGAAGCCAATGCAGCTCGCGCAGGAGAGGTGTCATGGGGGAGCGCCATGTCGCCCCCATAAGTACCTGCGCGGCGGCATTCTGCACCAGTTGGAGCCTCCGAGTGCTCCTCAAGGGGAGCCCCATGTAGAGAGCGTTGCAGTAGTCCAGGCGGGAAGTAACGAGGGCATGAGTGACCGTGCATAAGGAGTCCTGATCCAGAAAGGGGCGCAACTGGCGTATCACGCGAACCTGATAGAAAGCCCCCCTGGCCATAGCCGTCATATGCTCTTCCAAAGATAGCCGTGCATCCAGGAGGACACCCAAGTTACGCGCCCTCTCCATGGGGCCAATGTCTCGCCCCCAATAGTCAGCGATGGTACCAGCTGACTATATCGGGACGCCGGCAGCCACAGCCACTCAGTCTTGGAGGGGTTGAGTCGGAGTCTGTTCCTCCCCATCCAGATCCGCACGGCCTCCAGGCACTGGGACATCACTTCAAGGGCATCGTTGGGGTGGTCTGGGGTGGAGATGTACAGCTGGGTGTCATCAGCGTACAGATGGCACTGCACCCCAAAACCACGGATGATCTCGCCCAGCGGCTTCACATAAATGTTGAACAGGAGAGGCGAGAGGACCGACCCTTGTGGCACCCCACAAACCAAGTGCCTTGAGGTCGACCTCTGCCCTCCAGCCAACACAGACTGCGACCGATTGGAGAGATAGGAGGAGAACCACCGTAAGAAAGTGCCTCCCACTCCCAACCCTTCCAACCAGCGCCGCATGATACTATGGTCGATGGTATCAAAAGCTGCTGAGAGGTCTAATAGGACCAGAACAGAGGAGCAACCTCTGTCCCGAGCCCTCCAGAGATCATCAACCAACATGACCAATGCCATTTCCGTGCTGTACCCGGGCCCGAAGCCGGACTGGAACGGATCTAGATAGACGGTTTCATCCAGGTACTGCGGGAGCTGTCACGCAACCACACTCTCAACAACCTTCACCAAGAAGCGAAGGTTGGAAACTGGACGATAGTTTGCCAAAACAGCTGGGTCCAGAGAGAGCTTCTTGAGGAGGGGCCTCACCACCGTCTCTTTCAAGGCGGAAGGCAAGAAACCCTCACTCAAGGAAGCATGTATAATCCTCTGGAGCCAGCCTCGTGTAACCTCCCGGGTAGCCAGCACCAACCAGGAGGGACACGGGTCCAATAAACATGTGGTTGCGTTCAACCTCCCCAGCATCCAGTCCATGTCCTCGGGGGTCACAGGGTCAAACTCATCCCAGATAACAGTCTCAAGACACACCTCGGACAACCCGCCTGTACCTACCCAGTCAGAGTCCAAGCCTTCCCGAATTTGAGCAACTTTATTGTGCAGATAATGCGCAAAATCCTCAGCACGACCTTGCAAGGGGTCTTCCCACGCTCCCAGATGGAGAAGGGAGCGGGTCACCCTAAACAAGGCAGCTGGGCGATTTTCTGCCAACACGATAAGAGCAGAAAAGTAATTACACTTTGCCGCCTTTATCGCCACTAAGTAGGTCTTGATATAAAACCTCACTAGTGTACGGTCAGATTCGGAGTGACTGGCCCTCCAACTACTCTCTAGGCGTCTTTTCCGGCGTTTCATCCCCCTCAGCTCCTCGGAAAACCAAGGAGCTGGGCAGATTCGGCGCCGGGTCAGAGGCCGCAAAGGCACGACCCAATCTAAAGCACCAGTGGCCGCCCTATCCCAGGCGGCCGCCAGGTCTTCCGTCGAGTCACGAGCCAGAGTCTCAGGAAATGGCCCAAGCTCCATTCGGAACCTATCAGGATCCATCAGGCGCCTGGGGTGGAACCACCTGGTCGGTTCCGCCTCCCTGCGGTGGAGTGTAGCGCTTAGAAAGTCAAGTCTAAGGAGGGAATGGTCTGACCATGACAAGGGTTCAATGACTATATCCCCTGTATCTAGGCCATTCAACCACTGACCAGAGACAAAAACCAAGTCCAGCGTGTTTCCTCCTATGTGAGTGGGGCCCTGAATTAACTGGGTCAGGTCCATGGCCGTCATGGAAGCCATGAACTCCCGAGCCACCTCAGACGCTTCACTGATGGATGGCAGGTTGAAATCCCCCATGACTAAAAGCCTGGGGGTATCAACCGCCACCCCGGCTATAACGCTGAGGAGCTCAGGCAGGGCCGCTGCCATGCAGCAAGGAGCCAGGTACGCAACCAGCAGGCCCATCTGCCTCCCATGGCCCCACTTCACCAGGAGAGATTCACAGCTGGCTATCTAAGGTACAGTGGCCTCCCTAGGATCAAGACCTTCTTTTACAATAACCCCCCACCCCCCCACCCCTACCCTGGGCCCTCAGCTGATGAAATGCGCTGAAACCCGGTGGGCACATTTCTACGAGGGGGACCCCCCCCTCCTGGCCCAACCAGGTCTCTGTAATACCCGCCAGGTCCGCTCCCCCCTCCTGAATCAACTCACAAATGAGGGGGGCTTTATTAATCACGGACCTGGCGTTGCACAACATCAGCCTAAGACCCAGGCTCTGAGGCTCTGGACAACCCAGGGAATGAGAAGAGCATTGGGAGCCGGAGCACGTTACCGCTTGGAGACAGCGGGTACGCACCCCCACAACATGATATGGCCCCCTGCTCCCCCCATACCTGCCCCTCCCACCCACAGTACTGATGACATCGCCCTCTTCCCTCACAACACCCCCTCAGATACCTGCTCCGCACCTCCCCTAACGCGGCCCTGTGCCGGGCCTGGCACCCTCCCTAACAAATCACCCTCCCTATCCTTTGCCAAACAACCCTCCCCCCTCCCAAAACCCCTTTAAAAATTGGCAAATGACAATTTTAAAAAACCCCTCAGCCCCCTCTTTGCCGCATGCTACTAAATTAACAATGCCTATAAATTATAAACTATATATTAACAATGCCAACAATCTATAAATAAAACTTGTATAAGATGTTTTATCGATGGCATTGCCACCAGAAAGATTAGCTAAGATGTTTAAAGATAAATCAGCTAAGTGTTGGAAATGTCACCAGTTGCCAGGATCATACTATCATATGTGGTGGTTGTGTAAAGAAGCAAAACAATATTGGGTGAAAATACAAACGTGGTTAGAGGGAATGTTGCAGCAACATATAGAGTTAAAACCAGAGATATTCTTATTGGGAATTTTACCAGAGAATCATAGTAAAGAAGATACATATTTGCAGGGTCGAGCTGAGGATTTTGTGCAGTATCTGTATGACAAAATCGCTCAGATTCGGGAAGGGCTGGCCTCTGACTGGGTATGTCCAGACGGGATGACTGAGGCAGGTCTTGAGAGTGTTATCTGGGGGGAGTTTGATCCTGTGGCTCCCGAGGACATGGACAGGGTCCTGGGACGGCTGAACGCGACCACATGTTTATTGGACCCGTGTCCCTCCTGGTTGGTACTGGCTTCCCGGGAGGTGACACGAGGCTGGCTCCAGAAGATTGTTAACGCTTCTTTGAGTGAGGGGGTCCTGCCGGCCGCTTTGAAAGAAGCGGTGGTGAGGCCCCTCCTCAAGAAGCCTTCTCTGGATCCGGCTGTTTTGGCTAACTATCGTCCAGTCTCCAACCTTCGCTTCATTGCGAAGGTTGTTGAGAGTGTGGTGGCGCAACAGCTTCCCCGGTACCTGGATGAAGCTGTCTATCTAGACCCGCTCCAGTCCGGCTTCCGGCCTGGGCACAGCACGGAAACGGCATTGGTCGCATTGGTGGATGATCTCTGGAGGGCCCGGGATAGGGGTTGCTCCTCTATCCTGGTCCTGTTAGACCTCTCAGCGGCTTTTGATACCATCGACCATGGTATCATGTTGCACCGGTTGGCGGGGTTGGGGGTGGGAGGCACCGTTTTGCGGTGGTTCTCCTCCTACCTCTCTGACCGGTCGCAATCTGTGTTGACAGGGGGGCAGCGGTCGACCCCGAGGCACCTTGCTTGTGGGGTGCCACAAGGGTCGGTCCTCTCGCCCCTTCTGTTCAACATTTATGTAAAGCCGCTGGGTGAGATCATCCGTGGCTTCGGGGTGGAGTTCCATCAGTACGCTGATGACACCCAGCTGTACATCTCCACCCCAGGCCACCCCAATGATGCCCTTAAAGTGATGTCCCAGTGCCTGGAGGCCGTGCGGGCCTGGATGGGGAGAAACAGGCTCCAACTCAACCCCTCCAAGACCGAGTGGCTGTGGCTTCCGGCGTCCCGATATAGCCAGCTGACGCCATCGCTGGCTATTGGAGGCGAATCACTCGCCCCCACGGAGAGGGCTCGTAACTTGGGCGTCCTCCTGGACGCACGGCTGTCGTTAGAAGATCATTTGGCGGCCGTGGCCAGGGGGGCTTTTTATCAGGTTCGCCTGATACGCCAGTTGCGCCCCTTTCTAGATCGGGACTCCCTACGCACAGTCACTCAGGCACTCGTCACTTCCCGCCTGGACTACTGCAATGCTCTCTACATGGGGCTCCCCCTGGGGTGCACCCGGAGGCTCCAGCTGGTCCAGAATGCGGCCGCGCGGGGGATTTTGGGGGCGACGAGGCGCTCCCACGTGACACCTCTCCTGCGCGAGCTGCACTGGCTTCCGGTGGTCTTCCGGGTGCGCTTCAAGGTGTTGGTGACCACCTTTAAAGCACTCCATGGCTTAGGGCCGGGGTACTTACGAGACCGCCTTCTGCCACCAATAGCCTCCCACCGGCCAGTACGCTCCCACAGAGTGGGCCTCCTCAGGGTGCCGTCCGCCAGACAATGTCGGCTGGCGACCCCCAGGGGGAGAGCCTTCTCTGTGGCGGCGCCCGCCCTCTGGAACAACCTCCCCCCAGAGCTACGTACAATAACAGACCTCCGGATTTTTCGTCGGGCCCTGAAAACCCATTTATTCCAACTAGCTGGGCTGGCTTGAGTCAAATTTTAAATGGATTTTAAATTGGAATGTTTTAATTACGGCCAAAATTATTTAATTATTTTAAACAGTTTTTAGACTTTGTATGTTTGTATGTATGTCTTGTTTTTACTTTGGCTGTTCACCGCCCTGAGTCCTACATTGGAGAAGGGCGGTATAGAAATTTAAACAAATAAATAAATAATAAATTTGATTATTTATATAATAACAGCAGCTAGAATGGTATTTGCACAAAACTGGAAAGCAGATAAAATCCCGTTGGAAGGAGAAATTATAAAGAAAATTTTAGAATGTGCAGAAATGAATAGATTAACATTGAGAATAAAAGATAAAGAGGAGTCAATGTATTTCAAGACATGGGATACATTTTATGATTGGTTAGGAAGGAAATATGAATAAGGATATAGAGATAAAATAGATAGAGAATAGATGGGGGAAAATTAGAAAAATAGATATCCAGATGATATCAAGTAAAAGGAGAAAAGGGAGGGGGACGGTAAAAGGGAAAAAAGTGATATTTAAAAATTATCGCAAATGATGAAATAAAAATAAATAATAGTTGAATAAGAAATTGAAATGAGAATAAAGATAATTAGAAAATCGGGGCTGCTCAAATACCACTTAGATTGAATTGAAAAGGGAAACAACAGGAGAGAGGGGAAGGAGTAGAGAGAGAGGAAGGGAGAAGAGAGGAGAGGAGAGGAGAGGAGAAAGAAGAAAGGGAAAAGGGGAGGAAGAAAAGGGAGGGGAAAGGAGCAGAGGAGAAGGTTAGAAGGGGGGAAGAAGAGAGGAGTGAGGAATAGAAAGGGACGTAGGAAAGAGAAGGAGAGGAAGAACGAAGGAAGTAGGAGGAGAAAGACGAAGGAAGAGAAGGGGAGGAGGAGAAGAAAGGTTGGAGTAAAGGTAAAAGAGCAGCCCCCAAAAAGTAAAAAATAAAAATGAAAGCTAAAAGAAAAGATGAATGAAAAATGATGGAAATGAGAAATAAAAATAAAAAACTTTTCTGAAAAAAAAAAAGTCCATCACAAAACTAACTAAGAGAAACAAAACTACAGAAATCATCTAGCATTCACAAAGCTGTTCAAAATTTTTAGGATGTGGAATTACCCTCTGGATAATATATAAAAACAACAAATCATGTTTATTTCACTATTTTACCTCATTATTTCATTTGGTCAAATATTGTAATTTATTCAAGCAACTCAGAGAATGGCACATTGAACACATTGTTGTGAACATGTGAATAGCTCTCCACAGTTCATAAAATGCATACTGCAAATGTGTGTGTGTCAGGATGATATCCAAATTAAGTTATAATTTACAAGTAGATTATTTTGGTTTATTATAGCAGAAAAATCTACCTTTAATATTAGGATGATGTCTTCCAGAATAGCATAGAGGTCTGACCTTGACAAGTTCTTCCTCTTGTTTGATAAGACTAGGATGAAGAGCAGTGATAGCCTTCAAGCTGATACAAACATAGATGAGATTTTTAATATTAGTTCTTTCAAGATTTCATAGGAAATCTATTTTAAATTATGCCTAAGAGAAAAACATCAGCATTTTGGTAATCCAAGAGCCATGAAGATCTTTAGTTCTCATTTGCCTAATGCATGTAATTTAATGCTAAGCATATAGAATGAGTACTGACTCCTGAGCCAGCAAAAACTTTTAATCCACCCACCTTTAGGCTGCTGACTTTCATAGGACTACACTGTGTACTTTTAGAATATTTACTCTAAATTCTGTCATCTAGGGCTTGGATGGCTAACCTTTTTGCCGTCACATGCCAAAAGCGGGGGCAGTGCGAGGGGTTGCGCGCACACGTGCCCACACCCATAATTCAATGTGTCCCGCCCCCATGCATGCGCACGCAACCCCCCTGCACTCCCCCCACTTTTAGCACGCAATGGCACAGTGGGCCTGGTAGGCCGTTTTTTGCCCTTCCCAGGCTCCAGAGGCTTTCTTGGAACCTGGGGAGGGCGAAAATGGCCTTCCCCACCCCTCTGGAGGCCCTCTGGAGGCTGGGAATGGCCTGTTTCCCATGGCCCTGGTGGCACTGGAAGTCCTGTTTTTCTTTCTCCCCACGTTCCAGAGGCTTTCTAGCAGCCTAGGGAGGGCAAAAATGGCCTTCCCCACCCCTGGAGGCCCTCTGGAGGCTGGAAACAGCCTGTTTCCTGACTTCCGATGGGCCCGGAAGGCCCGAAAATCAGCTGGCCATGTGCGCTGGAGCTGAGCTAGGGCAACGCTGACATGCCCACAGATCGGGGGTGAAATGCTCCTGGTTCGGACCAGATTGCCCGATCCGGTAGTGATGGCGGCGGGTGGTTCGGAGAACCAGTAGCAAAAACCCTGCCCCCCCCATGCCCAACTGAGTCGCGTGATCATCAGAGGCTTTTTTTTTTTTTACTTTTGAAAGCATTTTTTTCTACAACCTCTTCGGCCAAAGAAATGCTTTTAAAAGTAAAAAAAAAGCCTCTGATGATCGCGCGGCTCAGCTGGGATCATCAGAGCCTTTTAAAAGCATTTTTTTCTACAACCTCTTCAAAAATGCTTTTAAAAGTTAAAAAAAAAGTTGGCCATGCCCACTCAGTCACATTACCCCCCACTAAGCCATGCCCACAGAAGCGGTAGTAACAAATTTTACATTTTACCACTGCCACAGATAGGGCTCTGCGTGCCATCCGTGGCATGCGTGCCATAGGTTCGCCATCACAGTTCTAGGGCCTAGAATTTGTGGATTCCTTACCAACAAATTTATCAGCCTTATTCTGTCACTTCCTGTAAACTTCTATGTCACATTCTACATTGTTCATATTATAAATTAATCTAATTAGCTATTAATCAATTGAACACCTCTCTCAGCCCTGGTCCAGAAGCACTTCATCGTTGACTCACATAGTGTGGAGATGACATGATAATTTGGGAGCCAGCTTGGAAAGGTGGACTGTCCTGGGATGTGGCAAGATGTTGGAGAACAAAAGGAAGTAGGCTTCTCTCCACTGAGAAGAGTTCATTGAGCTTCCTTCTTTTTTGAGGAAAAAAAGTGCATTTTCCAAGATTTCTTGCTGGATTTCAACAATGAAGGAAGGAGAAGATTGCCTACATGGACCAGCTGTGTCTATGGTGTCCTGAACAAGAAACATAACTCAGTTTGCAACACTCACGAGGAAACACTCTACCACAGTTGTATTTCCACATGTCGTGTGAAATTAGTTATTCAGTCAGCATAGTCAATATTGCAATATGCTTTCAGTGGGTTTCTCTAAGATTGTATGAATATAGAGGAAGACAACTGCATGGTCACACTTTGGACCAATTCTGAGAGTCTGGATGAGAAACTGTAAAAAGAACAATGGGAAACTTTGGTTCTGAAGGTAGCGTACATTTTAAAATAAAATAAAGTAAATGTAAGAAGCTCAAGTTTTCAGCCATTAATATGTAAATGATGCTTAGCAATTGTAACAGCTCACCAGAACACCTCTCATGGTGCATTAAAATCATGTGTGTTTTTAAAGTTCCCAAATTCTCACTGTTCAGGAATACAGCTTTTGCTGTCACTACAAAAACACAAATGGTGTAGGGTCTCCTGCTTGGGCAGGGGGTTAGACTAGATGACTACAAGGTCCCTTCCAACTCTGTTAATCTAATCTATAACAGACTAAAGACAGATCGGGGTGGGTTCTACTTACCTTTACTACCGGTTCGCAACGGGATCACACATGTGCGCTCTCTTTGCTCGTGCACGCACTTTCCTTCTGTGCATGCACCTTCTGTGCATGCACAGATCGCTTCTGATGACGTCAGGGTCAGTGAGTGGAGTCTCCTGCCGGTTTTACTACCAGTTCTATAGAACCGGTCCGAACCAGGGGCAATCCACCACTGAGTCAGATGTTATGAATACTCATAGATCATAATTTATTTGAATGGCTTTTTTGAGGGCAGCAATCCAGGCTGAAGAAATAGGCCCTCCATAGTGGAAAAGGAATCATCCCAAGATTAAGAACCAACACTTACCTGGCAAGGATCTCTTTGGAGCCTGGATAGATATTCATGGAGAGAGTAATAATTGCTAAAATTCTTGATCATTCCAATGGCACGTCTGGCTAGAGTGGCATTCTGCAACATCTGAGCGATGTTGGTAAAGTCAGCTGTTTCTTTAGGGCTGATATAGACAGGAGGTTTCTCCACCTGCAGATTAATTATAAGGAATTAATCTTTCTAGCTTTTTGGTACCACAAGCTTTGGTTCCACTGAGTTATAAGACTTTGGCTGAAAAACAGAACCAGTTCACATATGCAGGATGAAGAATACACTCTAATCAAATGGCCAGTATGAGATTGCCATTTTTGATTGTGGTCATGACAGAGTGTTCCCCTTGGCTCATTGTTAAGTAAGCTAGGCCATTTTTTTTCTTACTCCATAACTAAGAAAGCAGATGGGCAAGAATTACCTTTCAAAAATATGGCAATAAGCCATATACTGTTAAAGAAAAAAATATGGAGTAATTAATGGATATCATGGAAGGAAAAATGCTTTGCAGGAATAGAAAGATATGGAGAACTATGGTAAAAGTGGTGGTGCAAACTGGATTTCGTTTTTTCTTTACTTATGTCTTTGGCATATTACTTTCTACTTCTAAAGTGTTGCTTAATAGGTCTACATTGCCTAGAAATACCTAGAAACAAGCAAAACTATTACTAGAAGCCAACATGACCTTGTCAAAAACAGATCATGCCAGACAAAATTTACTGCATTGTTTGACATAGTTAAAATGTATGGACATAGTTCACTTAGACTTCAGTAAAGCATTTGACAAAGTAGATCACAGCCTACTCCTTGGTAAGATAGAAACATGTGACATAGACAGTATCACCACTACATGGATTTGCAACTGGCTGAACATGCAGGTCTCAGTGGAACTACATCTAAAAAGCATGCAGTGGGCTAACAGAAGGTTCTGTTGGGCCCAGTGCTTTTCAACATCTTCATAAATGATCTAGATGGGGAAATAGAAGGGGAATTCATCAAATTTGCAGGTGACACCAATTGCTAACATTTTAAAAGGTATAGAAGGATCTTGGACTTGAACACTGAGTTCTATCCAACAAAACGCAATCCAATGGTGAGAAAAGTAACGTACTAGTTTAGGCAAGACAAACCAAATGCTGTCTAGAATAAGTAGTACCTGGCTCAACAGCAGTGCTGGTAGAGGGATGTACGTATCATAGTGAACAAGCATTGTTATGTGCCAGCAGTGTGCTGCAGCTGCCAAAACAACCAATGCAGTCCTAGGATGCATCAACAGAGGGTTAGTATCAAGATCACATGAAGTGTTAGTACGGATTTATATGGCATTGGTAAGACCACACATAGTGGGTTGTGAGACAAGAAAAATAAAATATTTTGATTAAACAGGGAAATGTAATGATTAAATGTTTAAATGAAGTTTGAATACTGATAGGTGTATTTTTTTTCCTTTTTCTTTAAAATCTTGTTTTCTTTTTTCTCTTTCTCTTCTCTTTACTCTCTTTTGTTTATTCTCTCTCTCTCTGCTTTTTCTTTTTTTCTTTTTCTTTTCATTCCTTTTAAATTTGACTATATAAATATTAAATATTTATTTTTATTAAATAAATAAATATATAAATAAACATATATTAATCTGGTCATGAAATAAGAACATAAATGATTAAATGATAATATGATGTTTTAAATGTTTAAATGAATTTTGAATATTAACAGGAGTTATTCACAGATTTAACAACTAGAGAAAATTGATTTTAAGATGGACAAAAATATTGTTCTCATAGAAAAATAAGAATATATATGAAATGTGATGAATTTATGGGAAATGTATAATTTAGGAGAGAATATGTGAGAAGATATTTGTTGCAACACGTTTCTATTTTAAATTGGCAGGAGATATGGAGGAGAATATGTTGGAAAAGTAATTTATGTAATATGCAGTGAATTAGTTAAAATAAACAGCTAAAATAATAGAAGTAGAAGCAGAGGAAAGCATGCTGGTAATCAGCGATAACAGACCTTGGAGTGGAGGAGATTATGCTGCAATTAGTGGAAGGAGTGGAGGATACTATGCTGGAGAACAGCTGAAACAAAATGCTGTGAACCAGCCAAATAAATAGAGTTAGGAGTGGAGGAGATTATGCTGGTAATCAACGGAAGGAGTGGAGGATATTATGCTGGAGAACAGTTAAAATAAAAATATTGTAAACCAGCCAAACAAATAGAGTTAGGAGTGGAGGAAAGCATGCTGGTAATCAGCAATAAATAGATTTAGGAGTGGAGGAGATTATGCTGGCAATCAGCGGGAGGTATGGAGGAGATTATGCTGGAAAACAGTTTGCTGTGAACCAGCTAAATGATAGATTTAGGAGTGGAGGAGAATATGCTGGTAATCAGCGAGAGGAGTGGAGGAGAATACGCTGGAAAATAGCTAATTCAGTTGTGAACCAGCAAGATAATAGATCTAGGAGTAATGGAGAATATGCTGGAAAACAATTAAACAATTAAAATTAAGTAGGCTGGGAACTAGATAAAATTATAGATGGAAACGTGGAATGAGTGATAATGTGAACTGATCTTGAAGTGATTTTATGTAAAATGAGAAGTGTATTTCATGTCAAGATAAAGGAAATTGTAATTCAATAGAGGTTAAAACATAGATTTGATGAAATGAGTCTTATGATTAAGGAATATATATGGAATTCTGATAAAATGGAAAAAATTTAAGAGGGTGTTTATTTGGAAATGAAAGATTGTATATAAAAAGGAGCTGTGTTTATTTGGGATATAAGGTTTATGGTGATACAATAGAATGCTAAATGTTTAGAATAAGATGTTAGAATGTGTGATAAAAAAATTGTTGACTTGCTTTATTTTTTAAAGATGTAAATGGATGAAATTTGGAATCAAATTTGTTACAGTAGTGTGAGCAACTGTACTTATTCAATACCGGACCAAACTTTTGCCCTTAAAAGATGTATTTTATGTTTAAGAACATAATTTAATTTTAAAATATTTTTAATAATTTAATTTAATATTAAAAATAAATAAAAAAATATTTCATAAAAAAATGATTTGGAGATTGGAGGCTAATACAAACGATGAACGATTGTGTGAACTAGATATGTCCAGTCTAATAAAGAGAAGGACTAGGGGTGCCCTAGAGGAGACTGATATATGTGAAACAGAAGAGGGATTTTTTGACTTATTCTCTAAAGCACTTGAGGGTAGGATAAGAATTAATACATGGAAATATAAGCAGATTCTCAATTATCCAGGTCATGGTTGTCCCAAAAGTGCTTTTTCCAAAAGGCAACTGGACTTTCTTTTCTTTCCTTTGAAATTCTGAAAAAGAAACCAGAAGCATTGCCGTGAGACTGGCTGGAAATTAGCGAGCTCCAATGAGCCCGGTGAAAATCCAGCCAGACAAACTGCTGTTGGGAGGTCTTTGGACCGGAGCTGTCTTGTAGGGATGGTGAAGGAGGAGGGGCATCTTGGATGACCAAGAGGAACAGGCAAATTCCTCGGAAGGTTGGAGGCAGCTCTTCAATCTGGCGGCAGGGGCATCGGCCATTAAAAACATCTGCTTTGAAGCTGGGGCAACCAGAATAAGATTTTGTGCAGGAGCGGTGTTTGGATGGTACCGGGTGAATGATTGGCCAACTCACAGGTAAAAAAGGAAATTTCTTTTAAAAAAAAACTTTAAAAGATCCCGGCAAGGAAACAAGTGGCTAATTGGCACTTGGGAATTTTAATGGAGGGAAAAGAACAAAGAGGAAGTCAAAGTATTAAAGCCCAGAAAATAAAACTTTATATTTGGATTTAAAATTGAACTTGGAGAAATTAAAACCAATATAAGAAAAGGAAATCTGAGGGAAAGTACTTTTTAATGAAGATTTGAAAGAATTTTGGGGGTGGAGCTGACGTCACGATGGCACAACTAAAGATCTTGGAGCTCCAGGATCACCGTCGATATCCTCACCGCTGGACGGTTCTTTTTGGACCTCACCGTCCCGTAGAGATGGTGATAGTGGAGGGCACATCCTGTTGATCCCAGGGACACCACAAAGTTCCTGGTTGATCCAGGAGAAGCCCTTTTTCCAGTGGCGGGGAGGCAGCCATTGAAGCTGCTGAAGTTGGGACAGCTCCGGAATGGAAGAGATTGGAAGAAAGTGAGTCAGTTTGGTGAGAGATTAAAATAGACTATATGAGAGAACACCCTGAGATTCAAAGTAAGTTAAATTGAAGACAGAAGAAAATTTCTTAGGGAGAAAGAAGTGGAGACAAGAAAGAAAGAATCACTGATTGAACTTCAAGAAGAAGGCTTAGCAACGATTGAAAAAAAAGAATGCACAGTAGGAGGCATTGTAGAATATAAAGAACAATGTGAAATGAGATCTACTAGAGCAATAAACCCTTCTTATAAAATATGAATATGGAAGAGAAAAAACTGATTACAATAAACATACATGGACTTAGTTTAGCTATTAAAAGAAGAAAGGTATTTCATAAATTAGAGAAGGTAAAATTTGATATAATCTGTTTACAAGAAGTGCTTATTAAAAAGCAACATGAACAAATTCTGGTACAGCCAAAATTAAGGAAAATATTTACTTCATTGCCACAATGTAAGAAAAGACGAGTTGTTTTATACATTAGAAACAATACCAGCGGAGCAAATTTATGCAGATGATGAGGAAAGAATTTTGATGGTGGAAATAATAGACAACAATATGAAAATACTTTTAATATATGCTCCAAATGACGATCAAGAAGATTTTTACAGAAAGCTACATATGAAAATAATTGAATTGGACTATGATAATATTTGCATGATGGGAGATTTTAATGGCATAGTAGATGAGAAATTAGACTACAATACACAGAAGGCAATAAAGCACAATAGAAAGATTCTTCCAAAATCCTTTTTTAAAATGATAGAGGAAATAAATTTAAAAGATGCATGGAGAGAAAGAAATGCAAAAAACAGACAATATACTTTTTATTCCAATAGACATTCATCATGGTCTAGAATAGATATGTTATGGACGATAATGGAATTGACCAATATATAGAAGAAATTGACATAGAAGCAAATACTTGGGCAGATCACAATCCAGTGACAGTGAAATGGAAAGGACAAAGGAAACAATCTAGATGAACTT